TGGGCCACTGGGCTCGATAAAAATACTGCCGAAATTCTATTGATGATTAATGGACCCCAGACTAGTTTTAAACCCTAGTCTGCTACTGTGTATGAGCTCACAATTCTTGGTAGATCTTTTTGTATTTAAGCCGATTGGTTGGCAAATCTGATGTCAATTTGATAAGATTTACTCCTGAACTGAAAACTGTTCGTCTATTTAAGAATATATAGGTTGTAGTAGTTGTTGTGCTTGCTTACTTGTAAAAAAAAACTCTTGAAAACATTTCTCAATTGAAATTGGCATCTCTCATTGTGGAAGTTCTGTGTAGCGCAGCTATTAAATATAAGAATATTCAGTCCTTAGTTCTGAATACTTCTGATTTAATGTAAAACATATGAGGTATTTTATTCTAACAAGTTGTGGAATATCTTAAATTTTTGTGTACTACTGGCATTTAAAAAGCACATGTTTTTTCAGAATATCTTTACCAATTTCTTGGCATGCTTGCATACACACTATTGTCCAATATACATTACAGACAGTTTATTATATAGAAACTGATTTCATTCAAATAGACAATTTATTTTCAAATGCATATAGAGGGGGGGGGGGGTATGGCCGAATGGTTAGCTCGTGTGTGTTGTATCATAAGGTCTGTTATTGAGTAGTGTCACCTGTCCAACCTTGTGGGTTTTCTACTAAAGACCCCTATACGCGCAAGTCCCGAAATGACCTAGTTTGTGTTGAGTGGACGTTTAACTCAATCTCTGACACGCACGCTGTATCATAAGGCCTGTCATTGAGTCAACAGGCGTGGTTTCGAATCCCCGGTTGTACATGACAAGGAGTGGGGTCGCCTGTCCAACCTCGTGGGTTTTCTCCGGGTCCTCCGGTTTCCTCCAACTGTTAAAGATCCCTACGCGCAAGCAAATTATTGAAATAAATTTAAAACCATATGTTAGTCCCGAAATGACTTAGTCTTTGTCGAGTGGACGTTAAACCCCATTTCTCTCTCTCTCTCCATCTCTGACAATGTGTAGGAGAATATGAAACTTGATTTGATATTTATTGTTTATTTCTTGCAATGTCATGTATTCTGTCTTTTCTGCAGGTTTATCTTGTAGGTTTTGTCTTGTATGTAGTGCAGTCCTCCTGCACTTAACTTTTAGGAATTTACTAATAGTGGTTTAATATCTGTTTTCGCAACAGTGAGATCGCAGACAACATTTCGGAGAAGCCAGAACTAGCTCCGGTATATTAAAATACAATTTTGCAATATTTCCATTAGGCATTGGTGATTTTACACCTTTTATATACCACAACAATTGTACATGCAAGACAAACCCAAGGGATTACTTTGACAGCGACCTGCTAAAATAATAAATGATTTATAACTTTACCCACAAGTCCATTACTGTTAGAAATTCCGAAAAAGCAATTCGTTCTGACAGATCAGATAAAGGCTAGCAGAAGGTGATATTACACCATTTGAATGTTAATGGAGATACAACCAATCCTTATTTATATACTATTTTATCACCAGGAGCTTTTTACACCTTCAGAACTGGCCAATGATCTTCGATTGATTCAGTAATACTAAGCTTCGTCTGATCGTAGATTTGTTTGGATATTTTATAAAATGATTGTATTTTCATTTATTTGAGGCTATAAATCATGATAAGAATCAACACAGAAGTTGCAGTGTATGCCTTCTGAAAAAAATCTTAAATCATTTGGATTGAGGTATGGCAGTAGGCTGTGATTATTGGACAGAATCATAACCATTTTCTCCAGACATTTTTGTTTATAGTGATGACAATCGACAGAGCTTACCATATGATGTTCCTTAAGTGAATGTGATTGAGTTGTGCTCAAGGCAGGATATGGTTTCTCTTTCTAGAACTCTAATACCACTTCTCATATAAATGGGATGTTCAGTTAGCTTACGTAATTTGTTGCAGTAAGAAATGCACAGAAACATCTGGTGAAAACTTCTTGGACAAAATGACCATTTGATGTAGTTCAGATCAGCTCATTCAAAGGTTCAAACCCTGCTGGAAAAGACAGTTCATCTTTAGCTTATATAATAATCATATAATTATTAATTGTTGTGTCTACTACCCAAAAAAATAATCATAAAGACAATATAAATCTTTGACCATTCCATTAGTCAGACATGTAAATTTCTACTTTGGGATCCATAAAAACGTCTACGTTAGGTTTAAGTACTAGAGTGTAGTGTTAGATAATGGATGTAAAAAATAAAGGAATTTGTCAATCTTTTTATGGATACTGATGAGTTGTTTATTAGTTTGTACCTGAAGATTACCACATATGGTATTAAAAAGTCTGAACTGTAGAATGATCAAACTATTTTATATTCAAGCACAGACAGGTGGTATATTTCTTTTCAATCAACGCCTTCCTTAACCCAGTCGGAGTAGAACAGTAGGACGTTAAAGTCCATTTCGTTTGTTTTCAATCCATGGAAGAATATTTGTGATATTTTTTTTGTTGTGGACAATTTTATCCCAGACAGTTCTGCATCTTCATTTCGTTTTCCAAGGCCGCTGGAATTTTTGGGGGGATCCAAGGAAGAATATTTGTGGATAATTTTATCCCGGATGGTTCTGCATCTTAATTCCATATTCCAAGACAGACAGGTGGAATAAATTTCTTTTCAGTCCAACGAAGAATATTTGTAATATTTTCTCTGTGGACAATTTAATCCCAGACATCTTAATTATGGAGTTTTATTTGAATTTGAATTTCAGTAACATGTTTTAATTATTAGATGTTATGTGGTTTTATGTATTCTACAGTATATTATTATGGAGAATGATGAGTATTTAGCTGTGACAGCTGTTACACAATGAAACTTGGTTTATTACTCATATATCCAATGATATGTACAATATAATAATGTTATTTATTGAATAAATGACAAACCAATTGAATAACTTCCATGAATTGATATTTCATTTGACATAAATATGCAGACTAGGGCGGAGAATTTGATGAACTGTCAGTGTCCATGCTTGGAAATGCTGATATTTTTGGGATTAGAAATATGTGTCGATCTCATCATTCTCAGAATTAAATCATAACAAAAGACGGAAATATGAAGATAATAATATGGGCATTTTTATGAATATGTGTATGGTTGTGCGGAAAACGACAATCATAGTTCCTTTATGCCCTCTGTGCCAAGTAGAAAATGCACCACACCTATTATTAACAAGTTAAAAGGATAAGAGCTTATTATTTTACTCTGTTCATTGTTCTTGATCATTGCATAGAAAATCCATTTAAAACAGGGAATAATTATGTGCACTGGCATAAGGATGTCGAATAATAGGAAATAATGGTTGTGAAATACAATAAGATAGATATAGTTATTAATAATTCAGAAAGTCACGTAAAGTAAGAACTATAGAACCCCTGATGTGGACATGTGTATTGAAGGAGAAGTAGTGTTACATAATCTATATCTATTGAGTGAGAGACAAAGGACAGCTTCTAAAGGAATATATACATGAATAATAATGTATCTATATTTGATACAAGGATTCTGTTTAATGTAGGAATATGTGTATAGCGTCTGTGAATAGTGACATTTCTAGATTTGATTCAAGGAAATCTGTTTAATATAGAAATATGTACAACGTTCAGGAATATAGAAATATATTTGATTCAAAGGATTCTGTTGTACAGCGTTCATGAATAATAACTGATATATCATTTATTCAAGGGATTCTGTTTAATATTGGAGCCTTGTTTAATATATTGCTTGTATTTAATATAGGATATTATTAACAATCTAAGTATATTGACTGGAATAATGGAATCATGATTTAATTTATACATGTACTGATCAAATTGATAGTGATGTTGAGCAATAATCATTTGTTTTGAATTTATATTTTTGACAATTGTCCCTAGTAATCATTTGTTCAAAAATAATACTATTGACAAGAGTTCATAGTGACCTTTTGTTTTGAACTGATCAAGACTTCATAGTGATCACGAAATAATAGAAAAGGATAACTATACAATACGATTTTTTTTATTGCTAGAAAAGTTTGCATGTGTACAGCCTGTATGTAAATGTCAGTGAACATTACCAATGTCATGGGAATTAGGAACACTTAAAGAACGGTGCAAGAGTTGACCTTTTAAGGAATCAATCTCTAAAAGCTGTCTTTGTCTGAATTATTTGCGTTGTTAATATGAGAGTTAAATGTGAGAACATGTTTCTCGTGTCTGAGTATGGATTATAACAAATGATTTCGACATATTTTTATTGTCAATCGAGTTACTAGTTATCTCCCCTCATGTTTAACTGTCTGGGATCTCGGTGTAAAGACACCTTGTCTCCTACGACAACTGACATGACCGACGATTCGTTTCACGGCATGTTCAATGATAAATTCAAGTCTAAGGTAGGTTTACTGATCAGATGAAATCGTTTTAAGCCTTTTTTGGGGGATCTCTCTAAGACCTTTTATATATTGAACTTAAGGTGTTTGCTATTATAGTATAACGATAAAAAATAAGTCAAGGACAACTTGATCAAAGGAGAATTTATAGCATTATGAAAAAAAGACATTTAAGCCTTTTTTGGGGGATCTCTCTAAGACCTTTTATATATTGAACTTAAGGTGTTTGCTATTATAGTATAACGATAAAAAATAAGTCAAGGACAACTTGATCAAAGGAGAATTTATAGCATTATGAAAAAAAGACATTTATGAAAAAAAGACATTTATAGCGTTATGAAAAAAAGACATTTTTAGTTAAGTTTACGACAAATTGAAATAAAATTGGTCCATGCGGTTGTGTCACTTGTGTGGTTCATTATAAGATTTTAGGGATCTTGATATTACCTTGGTGAAACCAATCAGTCAAATGACGGATGATGGATGTGTGGTTATTTCTGAAACAAATTATGTGGGTTGTTGTCTATTTCAAACATTTTTGAGTGTTATATTATATCGTTATTCCATTTTATTTTGTAGATCTACACAGACTGGGCCAACCATTATTTGGAGAAATCACGGAATAAAAAGTTTATATCCGATCTGCAACAGGACATATCTGATGGGGTTCTGTTAGCAGATGTCATTGAAGCTGTCAGTAAGTAGAACAATTTTTATATTATTGTGATACACCAATTTCTTAAAAAACCTAAATATGTTGATTTAAGTGACACTTTTAGCTTTTAACTACAGTTAACAATGATTTTAAGCACCCGGCTTTGTTAAATAACCTGGCAGACACAGGCAGCACATATGTGGTATTTTATTGTTTTTCTGAAAATCAGTGTCAAGTCTCATTTTCTACTAGAATGAATTAAAAAAAAAAAATATGCCGTAAAAAATGTGATTATCAATATGCCAACTGAAATGTATCGAGGTCTTAGCCAATACTATTACACTATATTTAATTTTTCTATTACAATAACATAATTAAATCAACACACATATATTAAAAAAAATAACAAAAACTGATTATTTTTTTTTATGTAAGTTTTTAATGTTAATATCGTCATCACCTGCTTCCATCAGTCCTAAAATATTGACTGTGTCATACAAATGAGGCATGTTGAAATTCAGAATTGTTGTGAATATCATAAATGGCCATTTCACTATTTTATCAATTTTCATTCATGGGCTTTGAATTTGAATACCCTTCAGATTAGTGGGTACAATGAAGAACTGTATGAAAATTCTGAATTTTCAATCACTGATTAATTATTCCTTGATTATGTTTTTAATTAATTTGATTTAAATATGAATTAAATTCCCGGTATGGCATATGTATATCTTCATTAGCCCACTTGGTGTAGGATGCTACAGAATCGTAATCCAGGTCTGGAAATTTCTACATCTTAAAAACATTTATTTGGAGATTAAAGGGAGACAACTCTTTAATAGTGAAGAAGACACTAATAAAAACTAGTATTACAAGATTTTATACAGTAGTTGCTTCTCTTAAGTCTTTGGGCTAAAGAAAGTGATTTTATACATAAAGCTGTGTACATCTATCGCATAGCAGAAAGCCTCTGAGTGAATTATTGAATATCAGTAAATTTTATTGGAATTGGTCAGGGGATAGATACAAATTTAAAGAATAAAGGGGAATAACTCTTCTAATAATAAGTGCAGAAAAAACTCACAACACTTGAAACAAACAGCAACCCCAAGCAAGACACATCATGCAGACATTGTCAGACACTGTCAAACAAGCACTATCAAATCAGGTGAATAGAAATAAAATGAAAACACTCACAAAAAAGAGAAAATTTCCCAAAAATGGTATTATACTAGTGTATGCCATGGAAGTTTGTATGTTTGTAAGAAATCTTAAAGGGACAATAACACTCTTGCTAGCTTGACAGCTCCAGTAAATAAATATTAGCCTTATTCTAAGTATTAGATGTTTAAGTGTCCTACCTGGTGTGTAAATTATCCATTACATCCTATTTTACTTGTCCAGAGGGTTCGAAAATATTTTTTAATCCAAGTCACATTTGAAAAGGTTTACGTTAGACTTTTCAAATCATTTAGTTGAATTTTTCCAATTTTTTAAATTAGGTGTGTTAAGATGAAATTTGTGTCATCAATTAATTGGAAAACTGTAAAATAGTACAATTTGTTGACCAGAATAAAGATTGGGACATATTACAACAAGAGTGGTATTGAGCCTTTAATGTTAGTACATAGATAAAAATGATTAGGTCTGTTCAGTTTGTATTATTAAGGAGGCATGGAATCTGTTGAAGAAAATTTACCTAAAAGTTTCCCGTTGTTGGAATACATGTAGTTAAGAGGCTTTTCCCAATCTGGGGTGTTGGGTGTCTGAATGGTTAGCATGTGCTAAAGACCCCTAAGCGCAAGCGAATTATTGAAATAAAAATTAAAACCATGTGTTAGTCCCGAAATGACCTAGTTTGTGTCGAGTGGACATTAAACCCCATTTCTCTCTCTCTCTCTTTTTTCGCAATCTAACCAGCTTCATAATGAAATCAAATTATCCCTCTTTCTTAATTTGATTTTAATAAGTTAATTAGAATATTAATTTGTATTCTGCACTTTATTTTAGTCACAATACTTGCACTTTCATTCATTCACATGTGTATATTACTTTTAAAAATCGTCCTAAATCTTTACAACTTCAAGTTGTTCATTGTCATTTCAGGGAATTTTTTTAACCCATTCAAACTACAATATTATGAACGTTGTCCAAAAATGGTTCTATTGTTTTTAGTATTTACAAATATATTATGAATTAAAAATTCCACAAATAATTTGGCAGGTCTTTATTTGGACCTTAAATGTTGTATAAATTATTAATTAGACATTTATTAAACTGACAATCCATAATAATTCTCGATGTCATCGGATGGCTCTGATTTTAAGTAGATCTGAATGGTTTGGCCATTTAAGACTCGATTGACCAGTACGGTGGTGACGATTAATGCACACATCTTGTCAAAACTACAACCATTGATAACTTCGCTAAAAATAAAGTAATTTGAATGAAAGTTGCAATATATTCATTTTGTATTATCTATTTTTGAACTGTTATAGAGAGAATGGCCAGCTCTTTATTTAAATCTTACATAATGCTTGTTTAAGAAATCAGTTTGATTACATTTTAGAATTGGATTATGCTGATGCTGTGAAAATTACATACTGTTCAAACAAGATCAGCGGCATTCAGGAAGTGAATCAAATCTTAGTTGGGAATGTTTTTGTAATAAGAAGGAAAATAACATGTTTGTATCAATAACCAAAATGTTATATACATATGTCAGATGGTTAAACTTTTAAAAATGAAAGTAATTGATAAATCTAACCCTAATCGTTCTGTGTGTAATTATCTGATTGGCACACAAATTAGATGTTATTTTGCTTGAATGATTTTAAATACATACGATTAACAAACCCAGACGATATATGTCAGATATTAATTGATATGTTGGGATGATTAAGGCTTTGTTTCACAGTTCTGAGTTAAAGCACGTCTGTATAGATAGACAACTGATAAATTGCCAATGTTTTTTTTTAGAATCTGGTCTTAAAATTGTTGGATTTAAATTGTTTGCTCAGATATATTTAAAGTAGAAAATTTTGGAAATCACACCCTTCGCACACTGGAATAAATATGTAATTTAAGACAATACACAATCATAAATACTTTTTGAAAAAAGCAGAGGACTATCCATCTGTCATGTTTTGGAAAAAACTGTTTTAATTTTGGAAGTTCTTGGCAACTTTTAATTGTCTGCAATATCACTTTTATGGAAGCAGATGTTAAACAACCAAGAAGATAAGAAGGCAACTTTAATCACTGGATATTCTCAATCCATGATAACTGTTAGTCAACAAAATGCTGCTTTTATAATGATTTCTCAAAAAAGATGGGTTTAAAATTAGGCCTAATACGCCAGCCCCTATGGCAGGATGGTACGCTCCCCAAGATTTGACAGCTGTGTTGCAGTCAAGACAGAATGTGTTGTACTTTTGCCGCTAGACAATTGTATGCCATTTAACAAAATTGTTTAAACATGATGATTATTTCTCAGCTAAAATGAGACAATCAGGTCAGCCTTAATTGTACGACAGTTTATGATCTATTACTGGTTGTTTGAAATGTCTAAATATTTCAGAAGATTTTCATTTATTTAATACACAAAGAAATCATTAAGGACTGTAATTCATGCTGCTAAGGAAGTTGTCAACATCAAAAAGAAAAACTGCAATAATCAAATGTAATTTATGGTTTTAGGCTATCGTCAATAGCAACAAATACAATAAAACATGGAAAGCAAGCACTTTCAAATTTCAGCAGACATCAAGATCTAATTAGTTTTTATGCATCAACTTGTTCAACAACCAAGCAAGAAAGGGACAATGGAACCCGAGAAAATTTATGAGCATTTTCTTAAAGAAATTTACGACTTGCAGTTGCAGACTTGAAGCCATAGTTTTACAAATAATCAATTCAAATAACGTCACATGACCCTTCATCAAGTGTGATGAAAAGATTTCATCAATTCAGTATGACATTTCTCGCAGGAATTTGACAATAAAAAATGAGGAATAAATTATCCCGAACACAGTCCTGAACTGTGACAGGACATGGTTTTGGTTTTTATGAGAATGAGTCACATGGTTGGATGGTGTCCTGCTGCTTTTCTTTCAAACCAAATACCGTAACACTCATCTATTTTACAATAATTAACTCTTGTTTGGGTAATATATTTCCTGGATAGTTGAGACTTCATAATTAAAACAAAACAGAATTTGGGCTATATTGTCCTGGTTAAGTGAGACTTTGAAATGGAACTCAATATAATTTCTATGGTCGTATTAATGCAGTTGAACAGACTAAAAATGTATGAATTGAAATCAGAACACATACATTAACAAATAAGATGTTAGTTTCCATCAGAATATGTGAACTTTGACACCATCAGAATATGTAAACTTTGACACCTATCACAATTGAATCAGTATATTTTATTTTTTGGTAAATTATGTTTTGATCAAAATGACATTTTCATGTATGAAATTTTCAATTCATTATTAAAATAGGTATATTGTATTCCTGGTAGGTTCTCTTTTGATCAAAATGACATTTTCATGCATGGATCTCTGGGTTTTGGAGTCCTTTTTCTGTAACACTTCTTCATTCAACTAGCCGAACTAACAGCGCCTGAATGCCAACATAATCCATCATATTCTATCTCTTCATCAGCTGTAATAAATTATTTATCATTCATCATACGGCAAGAAAATTTCCGACTTGCTAAAATCCGTGATGAGTCAGTTACATGATTTAATTACAGAGTTTTCAGTAATGGCCGCGTGTAAACGATCTTTGTTACAAATTGAGGCAGTCATTATTTATTCAATGTTTCATTTGTCCATTGACAATTTTTTCAATTCTTTTTTTAAATTTACACAAATTGATACTAATTTTTAAGGCTAGAAAAAAACCTTGGAAAAGTTTGAAAAGAAAATAAAACACATGAGCCTAATCAACTTTCTAAAATACTATAGCATTTAAAAATTGATTCCCAAGTTCTCTGTTTTTCATGTAATCTTAATTAAATCTTGGATCATAAGACAAAGAAAATGTTTAGGGCGAAATGACCTTGCCCTATACTCAAGAGACCCCGCTATATTTTATCTGTCATCCTAAAATATGAATATTGTAATCCCCAGAAGACTTTAATCAGAATATAGCTATGCAATAATAGATCAGAATAGCCGATACCACTTCTCATTTTAGTAATATTGAATATTACATCCAGATCATTTGCCAATTTTATTCTCAAATTTACTGGAGAATAACATCTTAATTTTTCTAGAACATATGATACCACTTCTCATTTTAGTAATATTGAATAGTACATCCTGATCATTTGCCAAATATTTGATTGTATTCTCAATTTTACTGGAGAATAACATCTTAATCTTTCTAGAACATCTGATACCACTCCTCATCTGATTATTATTGAATATTACATCATTTCATTTTGATCAATATTTAATTTTATTCAAACTATTATCACAAATTTATTGGAGAATACCTTCAGATTTTTTGATAAATTTCTTTGATTTTATCTTTTCAGCAAATGACAAAGTTAAGGATATAAAATTAAAACCAAAGAACACTGCACAAATGGTGAGTACAAAAACATATAATTTTGACATTTTTCTGCTGTTGTCTATGCCTGTGTCTTGTATACAAATTAATTTCAGAAGAGAGTTTCACACAGTTTGTATATCCATTTGGGATTTTGTTCTTACATTTTGTGAATATCATGGCCAAAACAATCCCTCTCAGATTTTATGAACTAGAGTGAGCCCATCCCCCTCAGACTTTATGATCTAGAGCAAGCCCATCCCTCTCAGACTTTATGATCTAGAGCATGCCCATCCCCCTCAGACTTTATGATCTGGAGCATGCCCATCCCTCTCAGACTTTATGATCTAGAGTGAGCCCATCCCCCTCAGACTTTATGATCTAGAGCATGCCCATCCCCCTCAGACTTTATGATCTAGAGCATGCCCATCCCCCTCAGACTTTATGATCTGGAGCATGCCCATCCCTCTCAGACTTTATGATCTAGAATGTGCAGGTTTCATAGACCACACGACGACCAAAACTTGAATGAGATTGGAAGTGTTTGTATTCTATGTTAATATAGATCACTGAAAATTTTAGTTTGGAATGCAGTTCACATTTGAACATGATATGTTTTCAAAATAAATGGGATAGGTATTTAAATTGTGGCATTTAAAAAGTTTAGAAGTCATAAATAAGGGGAAATACTCTTTGAATAAAAGTTCGAATTGTAACCCTGCTATGAAGTAACAAAAATAAAAGTGTTTCAATATGTGTACAGACAGAATTTCAAAGTTAATGCAAAGATATTGAAAGGTCAAAAGTCTTTTTTATAATCAGTATTAAAGGGTATTAAAAGTCAAAGGTTAATGTTTCGAGCAATTTATTTTACTTTATTATTGATAAGACAACAATGTGTTAATTGTTTGAGTTCTTCAAATAGTTTATGTCTTTTGATATAACCAAAATTTTAATGGGGTTTTAAGCCAGTCTGAAACATTTAAAGATTAAAGATATATGTATGTGCTCAAGTAGTAATAGTATGTGACTGAAGACTGCACTACACACTAAACAAATCTGATAAGACAAACCTGTGGACAAGACAATCTACGCAGGTATTGCGAGAAATAAACAACAAATATCAAATCAAGTGAATGTTTCTGGGAGCCAGTCGTAAGTATTGACTGTGTTGTACAGTCAACATGCTTGTAGTGATACAGACTAATATGACTTCTTTGTTTAATAAGGGAGCCACAGTGGCTCAGTATGTAAGTGCTATCTCACTAATCAGAATTTTTTAGGTCTAGGATTTGATCCCAGTGTTGGCTGAGAAAGTTCCCTGCGATTTCCCAGCCTAGTTTCCCCCTATTTCATTGATGCAGGACAGAGGGCGAAGGAACAACATCAAGTTGTTCTGATGGGTTGAAAAATAACGAGGTCCTATGTACATGTAAAAGAACCCTTGACAGTTGCAATTCAAAATATGGAGAGGCCATAGCACCACTGTCCGGGCAAAATTCCCCTCACAGCACACTGTATGCCCATATTCATTATCCCGGTTGGTGCAGAAAAGTAGATATTTTAATTGCTTGTTGCTTATCATATAATGAATGTTTTGGTACAATAAATTTGCATCTTATCTTATGTAAGTGGTGTTGTTTTTCCTCACAAGATGGTTCTATTTTACCACTGTGCTGATGAAATCAGGATAAAAATACAAGAATGCGTATAGATTCACCTGATATATAAGAAAGATTAGCAGTCAGCCGAACATTACTGTCAGTAAAAAACACATGTTTTGATCAGTTGTAAAAATCATAACAATTTTGACATTCATATTATTTTCCTCATCTATGATTGGCATGTAGAGGTTGACTATATGATCTACTACTACAATTATTGTAGATAAAATACCTCATTATTTATTTGTTGATGGTCATCCACAGAAGAACAGAGGGTTCAGTGGTTTCGATCATAAGGTCAGCTATTTAGTCAAGTTACTTGGTTGTTATCCCAAGCTTATACCTGACAAGGAACAGGGTCGTGGGTTATTTCTTTCATTTCCTACCAATGCTAAAGATCCCTACATGAAAGCAAATTATTTAAAAAAAGATAAAATAAATCTGTATGTTTGTCCCAAAATAACATAGTCGAGTCGAGTGCATATTAAACCCCATCTCCCTCTCTCTTGCTGTAGAAATCAAAATCAGAAAAAGACAATTTGCAAAAAAACATCCCTCCCCAAAAATCATAGCATATTAGTCATGTCATTCAGTTAAAGAAGTAATTATACCCCATTATTTATAACATTATACCCTCTCAAGTCCATGTTAACCCCAACTGTCTGTCAATATGAACAGATGCATGTTCTCTAACCCCGTGCACACGCACCGTGTGTGTGTTCGTCACGCTACAGGCCAGATATGAAAAAAAATCTCTCAAAGATTTAAACCTCTCAGGAAGTATCAAAATACCATTGATGCCAGAAACAAAAGATGGTGGTCGTTCTTGTCTCCTGTAGTTTATGGATTTTGTGAAGAAAAAAAAACGAAGCTGGTGTATTTATCAGTTACATGGTAAACTTCAGAAGGTCTGCAATTGTCAGAGGTAATATCATTGCACCAAATGTTACAAAAGTATAATCTGTTTATTTGATCTTGATTCACATCTAAAAAATTTAATAGGTCTGAAGGTTAAATGTATAGACAAGACTTGTGTTTTATTTTCATTTAATTTACTGGTGTGTATTATGAAGCATTAAAAGAGGGGGGGGGAGAGAGGGGGAGTGAAGTAGTAGAGAGAGAGAGAGAGAGAGGGAGAGATTAACATCCACTCAAAACTCATTTCAAGACTAACATGTGGTATTTCAATAAATCGTTTGCACATAGGGGTCTTTAGCAATGGTAGGAAACCAGAGTACCCCGAGGAAACCCACAAGGTTAAGTTAACACCCAGAGAAATCCCATGAGTTTAGGCAGATGACCCTACTCTGCTCGTACAAATGTGGGATCGAAAGACAAGTGAATATTAGTAGGTCTTGTTACTCTGATTTATATTCCATGGTTATTTGGAAATATGGTTAAATACACTGTAAGTCTACCATATGGTATCAAAAAGCCCAAGGGGGTGCATGACCTGAAATAATGTTTCAACAGACCACACATCTCAACATCTGTGTCAGAACTTATCCAGTTATAGTTTAAATAAAAGGAAGATTTATAACATTTTGGACAATTCAAAACAAAAAAAAGTCCACTCGACACAAACTAGGTCATTTTTATCAATTCTAAATAAAACAAGTACATTCAATAAAAACTAGGTCATTTTGAGACATAAATCTTGTATGTTTTTCGTCAGTAGGAGGAAACCCTGATCTTTTTGACTTGAATTAACTTTGTGATCTAAAGTGTATGCCAGTACGATCCATTGCAGCCCCCCCCCCCACACACACACACTTTTTATTATAATTGAATTACCAGAGTTTAAATTAGTATTTCATGGGATATGATTTAATATTGATATCATATATAGTCTTTTTTGGGTGCAAAGGGAAATATCACATAGATACAAAAGAAGGAAGGATGGGAAAAGGAAAAGATGAACAAAACTAGAAAAATTAATCAGATTAGTTTGATGTAGATACTTTTGTTAGGACATGTAACTCCTGCATAGGCGTAGGAGCTCAAAGTAATTCAGGGGGGCATAAGAGAAAATTGCCCGAAATCAATACCGTTTTTTCGGGCATACCTATCATAAGAGAGCTTCGGGCATATTTTTGGGCATGCAGTGGACAAGAAAAAGACGAGAAAATACTTTTCGGGCAGTGTGGATCTCATAGAAATAAGTTAGTTATATTTTTTCTCGAAACGTTAATAGAAAAAAAAGGTCGTCAAATTTTTCATTGCCCGAAAATAAATTTTTTGGGGGGCAAATGACCCCCCTGCCCCCCCGGCTCCTACGCCTATGAACTCCTGACTAGGATTTCCTGATATTAGTATACTCTTTTGTGTCTTATTGGAGAAAATAAGTCATTTAAAACCAGATGACATGTTCAAGATGTATTCCATGTTCTGTTCAAAAATGGAATTTTAAATCTGGGAATGTTTTGAAATAAAGACTTATTTAGCCATCACGTAATTTCCGTGATCAAGGAGAACATGATTTTTATCCCCAGACAATTATTTTTAAAACTAATAAAGTTCTGAGGATAAAGAGTAGTGTCCATTGGGCTCTAATTATGTAAAATCAGAGTAAAACGAATGAATAAAGTATTGTTTGCCTAAGGCCCGAGCTATTCTTGTAAAACCACTCTATTAGATGTAGCCTAGTGTTAATCTGTCTAAATAAGAGTTGACAAATAATGACATACTCTATTGTGATTGGTCACGCTTATTGATCCAAAAACATGTTAACGTAAAAAAGGATGCGACACAATAGATCACAAGACAAGTATTAGTAAACTAAGCACGTGTTGTTCTTGGAGGAGACTTATTGTTCTCCGATCACACCCCAGCATTCTATTTTAAAACCCGCCACTTCAACATGGATTCTTTCTATTATGCATTTCTCTATTTATTTTATCTTTAGAAATAAGTTCACATGCTGTTTGTGTTGCTTTTGGTTATAACATGAATTCTAGGAACTTTATTTTTTAAAAGTTGTGAGAAATGGAGTTTAATCTTCACTTGATGCAAACTATGTCATTTCAGGACTAACATACGGTTCAATTTTATTTCAATAATTCGCTTGCGGAGAGAAAACCCAGGAGGTTGAACAAGCGACCCTACTCCTTGTCATTTACCTGCGACAAACCTCATGATCTAAAGCACATGCGTTAAAACATTCGTCTATCCAACCTCTCTTAAAGTTGTAAATAATGTGTCTTCATTAGCAGAGTCGGTGCAGAAGTGTAGGACTTTAAACCCCATTTCATTGAATTTATCTGTACTTTGTATTACAAAAATGGGGGATCTCGATGACTAAGTGGGTAAGACGCTGGCTCGCTAGCCTGGAGGTCGGGTGTTCGATCCCTCCATTGGTCGAGAAAGTTCATCCAG